CCTCCTCCTCCTCCTCCTCCTCCTCCTCCTCCTCCCTTCCTCCTCTTCCTCGCAGAGGCTGGCGCTGCTGCGGGAGCTCGGCCTGCCCGCGCCGCGGCTCCTGCCCGCGCGGGCCCTCGCAGAGGCCCCCCCTCGCCCGGCGCGGCGTGCCGCCGCCCCGCGCGGCACTCCCCGCGCGCGGGCGCCGCCGGCGGCGACGGCGACATCGACGGCACTCACGACGACATCGACGACGGCGACGACGACGGCGACGACGGCGGCGCCGGCGGCGGCGATGCCAGCGGCTCGGGGCCTGGCCAGGCGAGACGACGGCGGGACTCCTCGGCGCGGTGTGGTTGTCCCTTGCGTGGGGGGTCCTCTGGGAGGCCTCTCGCCGCCAGGGGCGGATCGGCGCCGACGAGGAGCGTTTCTTCATCCCCTGCAGGGTGCATTGCGTTTCTTCCGACTCGATTCGATTCGACTTCGATCGATGCCAATTCCGATGCGATTCGACTCGGGATTCTGGTCTGGGTTCCGATTTCTGAACGGAGGCCTGTGAGCCTGCCGATGTCCGCCGACTCGATTTTTCCCGACTCGGCTGGCGATCTCCACCGATCCGATCCATTCCGATCGCCGATCTGATTTGCCGATTCGATTTTGGGCTCTCCTGCCTCTGGCGATACAGTCGGCCTTGACTAGTAGGTCGGCCCTGCCTGGTCCAGGGGCACCCTTGTGTCCTGTCTTCGAGGGCCCGTGCCTGCCTCTCACATGCCTGTGGCAGTGTAGAGCCCCTCGGAAGGTTCTCGTGTCCTCTCGCGTGTCCTCTCCAATCAAGCCCGACTGTAACGGCCGTTACCCCGGGGAGGGGGTGGGCGGGGGCTAAGGGGCTGGTAACGCCACGATTCGCGCTGGCGCCGTCTGGGAACGATCGGCGGCGAAGTCCGAATCCTGCCCTCGCGGATCCACGATTTCAGGCAAGTCGATCCGGCCAAAAAACAAACGACACCACCCCACCTACGGCCCCCCATGTTGCGCTACGGTCCGTCGGGGGCCGTAGCGCATACCATGCAAGGCCCCATGCCAGACGTCCTGGTACACGCTACGGCCCGTGGGGCCGTAGGTGGGGTGGTGCCGTTTGTTTTCTGGTCCATCGATGGGCGGCGGGGTTCTCATCCTCTTCATCCTCTTCCTCCACTTTTACCCGTACCCCATCCTACTCCTCTCTTCCTCCTCTCTCTCCTCCCCCTCGTCCTTCTGCTCCTCCTGCTCCTCCTCCTCCTCTCTTCCTCCTCCTCTCTTCCTCCTCCTCCTCCTCCTCCTCCTCCTCCTCCTCCCCTTCCTCCTCCTCCTCCTCCTCCTCCTCCTCCTCCCTCCTCCTCCTCCTCCTCCTCCTCCTCCTCCTCCTCCTCCTCCTCCTCCTCCTCCTCCTCCTCCTCCTCCTCCTCCTCCTCCTCCTCCTCCTCCTCCTCCTCCTCTCTCCTCTCTCCTCAGGGTTCGGGACTCGTCGAGCACGCGGCGGCGTCCGAGCCCCGCCCGCGCCTCCCATCGAGGCAGGACAGATTCGATGGCGGGCGGGGGTGGGGCCCGGACGTCGCCACCCAGAAGTCATCGGGAGCCTTGAGACGGGGGTCAGGAGGAGCAGGAGGAGGAGCAGGAGGAGGAGGAGGAGGAGGAGGAGGAGGAGGAGGAGGAGGAGGAGGAGGAGGAGGAGGAGGAGGAGGAGGAGGAGGAGGAGGAGGAGGAGAGAGGAGGAGGAGGAGGAGGAGAGAGGAGGAGGAGGAAGAGGAGGAGGAGGAGGAGGAGGAGGGGGAGGGAGGGAGCCGCGCGGCGGCTCGGTCTTCTCGGGACACGGGCCCCCGACGTCCCCACCCCCGCCTCCCTGGGACCGGGCGCTTTCGTCCCGAGGCGTGTGCCTTGAGACGGGGGTCAGTGCAAACGGGGGTCAGCCACGGCACCGGGATCCTGCAGGATCCCGCGCAGACCCCCTCTGGCTGACCCGGGGTCAGCGAGCCGCTCGTTGCCGCGAGGCGGCCGCGCATATTGGCTGACCCGGGTTTGCGAAGACCTGCGGTGCATTTTTTTTTTCTCTGCATTGCAGTGTTTGGTTTCCTGCTGACCCGGGTCTGGATCGACCCGGGTCAGAAGATCCCCGAAGTCAGCTACCCCTGGCATTTCAGTCGGGCGGGTCCCTCTACAGGAGGAATAGTCAACAATAGTAGAAAAATTATCCCGGCAAAGCAACCTAACAGCGATATGTAGAAGCACATCTGAAAGCATTCCCCTTAAGATTCAGATGAAAATCCAGTTGTAGAATTCTGCTGTTCTCGCAGTCGTAGTCGCATTCGCGATGACAGTCGCAGCGGCAACGGCAGTCGCAGTCACAGCCTCAGCCTCAGCCTGCCTCAGCCTCAGCCTCAGCCTCAGCCTGCCTCAGCCTCAGCCTCAGCCTGCTTCAGCCTCAGCCTCAGTCTGCCTTCAGCCTCGGCCTCAGCCTCAGCCTGCCTCAGCCTCAGCCTGCATCAGCCTCAGCCTCAGCCTCAGCCTGCCTCAGCATCAGCCTGCTTCAGCCTCAGCCTCAGCCTGCCTCAGCCTCAGCCTCAGTCTGCTTCAGCCTCAGCCTCAGTCTGCCTTCAGCCTCGGCCTCAGCCTCAGCCTGCCTCAGCCTCAGCCTGCCTCGGCCGCAGCATCAGCCTGCCTCAGCATTCAAAATGTGGCCCAGGAATGGAGTTCTGGGAACTAGAAGAACACGAAGTGGCCTACAGTTGGCTCCGGGCATTCAAAATCATGCCCAGGAATGGAGTTCTGGGAACTTGAAGAGCACGAAGTGGCCTACAGTTGGCTCCGGGCATCCAAAATGTGGCCCGGGAATGGAGTTCTGGGAAATCGAAGAGCACGAAGTGGCCTACAGTTGGCTCCGGGCATCCAAAATGTGGCCCGGGAATGGAGTTCTGGGAACTCGAAGAGCACGAAGTGGCCTACAGTTGGCTCCGGGCACTCAAAATGTAGCCCGGGAATGGAGTTCTGGGAGGTCGAAGAGCACGAAGTGTGTGACTGTTGACGAAAAACGAGCCCGGCTCTGTTCCCGGTTCTCCAGAATGTGGCCCGGGAATGGAGTTCTGGGAGGTCGAAGAGCACGAAGTGTGTGACTGTTGGCGAAAAGCGAGCCCGGCTCTGTTCCCGGTTCTCCAGAATGTGGCCCGGGAATGGAGTTCTGGGAGGTCGAAGAGCACGAAGTGTGTGACTGTTGGCGAAAAACGATTCCCGGTTCTCCTCCCCGGCACCCGCCCAGACCCCCCTGTGGAGTCCAGATGCTTTCTTTTGACACCACTAGAAACCTACCAGCAAAAGCTGTTAGGTAATAATCAGGGGACGATTTTCTTAACATTGGTTTGACCGTTTTTTGTTGTTGTGTGAACATTTTTTTTGTGTGATTTTTTTGTCCAAGATCCGCCTGTAGGGCGACATGCCCGACCGAACCCTATTCCCACACGTCGCCGGCGCGAACCGTGACGTCACCAGGTTTGGGGGGGAGGGGGGGGGGATCATCCTCGGCACAGCGGCCGGCATCGCGCATCTTAGGAGAGGAGCGCGCTCGAGAGCGGGTCGGGATCGACCTTGGGAGGGGTTCAGGGATCGGTCTTGAGAGCGGGATGTGGGCTGTACGGGAGAGCCGCCGTTGTCTCGTGGGCCCTGCTTCGATGCCGTCGTCGTCGTCGTGTCGTCGTGTCGTCGTCGTCGTGGTGTCGTCGTCGTCGTCGTGTCGTCGTCGTCGTCGTCGTCGTCGTCGTCATCGTCGTCGTCGTCGTTGCCGTTGATCGTGGGTTCGAGGAGGGAGGCCCCAGGATCGAGGTTCGAGTTCTGGCCTCGTCGCCACGGCGGGGCTCTCTTCCTGGGAGTCTGGCCAGAGCGCGTCTCGGGAGAGAGAGCGGTCGGTCGGCGGCGGCGTCGTCGTCGTCGCCGCCGTCGCCCTCCGACCAGGGGGTCAGACGTCGGCTGCCTCTGATACCAGTGGCTGCAGCCAAGGTCGGTGCAGGATCCAGGATGCGGTGCTGCATCCGGGGCTGCCCGTTCGTCCTGGTCCCCTGGGCTTATCCGCGGCCCTGCGTCCTGGGGTTGTTTCCGCCGACGGCGACGCCGCCGCCGGCGACGTCGCCCCATGCTTTTCGTCCTCGCTTGTGTTTTCGACGTGGCGACTCTGCGTGGGCATTTCAGATTCGCTTCCATTCGGAGATCCGAGAAATGAGCGAGGTTCGAGGATTGCGGCGTCCAGGGCGAATTCGGGATCCAGGGATAGCTGAGTCCAAAGCCCTGGGTTCCGAAGAAGGGCTGCTTGCAGGTTTCCAGATCTGGTAGATGGGGCTCTACGAGCAAGCGCCGCTTGCACGCGTCTGGCGCCAGGACCGGCACCGACTCGGGGGACGACTCACGATCTTCCCAGCACGCCCAAAGCAGCTGTCCTTCAGCCGCTGTGTGTCCTCGTGGCGCCCTTTCTCGCGAGCAGCTCAGGCAATCCTGCTGCCCAAGCCGACCGAGAGGGGGGGCGGGGCTCTTCCGCGCCGAGAGCACCTGCACCCGGGACGCGGCCGTGCCAACGGTGCCGGCGGCCACTCGGCCCACGGCGACCAGGACGCAAGCGATGCGCCTCGCGCCTCGGTCCCGTCGCTGTTCCGCCGCCGAGCTGCGGCGCAGTCTCCCCGGGGGCCTCTCGATCGCGCGGCGCCAGGCCCTCGCCCGCCCCCCGCGCGCGGCGGGCTCGAGCCCGAGCCCGAGGCCCGGGCGTTGCCGCTCGCGCTGCTCCGACACGCGCTGTGGGCGTCTCCCGCCTTCTTCTGCACTTCTCTCCCGCCTTGTCCAGGAGGGGGAAAAACACACAGACGCAATCAATCCTCGATTCCCCAGAAAATGTGGGAAGTGGGGGGGAAGACGAAAACCCCAAAAATATGGGGAACTATGGGGAATATTGTTATTCGTGTGTATTTATTTGTTTGTCCTGGGGCCCCTTGACTTGTGCCCGTCGGATGAGCACTTTTGGCTGAAGTATTTTGGGCCGTGGGCGGCAGCCTTGGTCGGCAGCAACGGGGAGATGGCGCTCGTGCAGAGATACGTCGGCTTCTTGGAGGTGTACAGCTGCAGGGCGATCGTTCTGCTGCTCGCCATCGTCGCTTTGGCGGCACCCTTCGCTCTCCAGCTCTCCAGCACGACGACAGATAATTTTGGCGCGGCTCCTGGGACAAAGAGCAAGGCCGAATCCGATGCGATCAGGGCCATCTTTCCGCGCCCTTTCAACGACATCGAGACAGTGTATGTCAGGTGCCTCCAAGGCGATTGTACCTGTACGGGTGTAGACACCTGCGAAGGCTTCAAGCGTATCATTGATGGACTGACCCAAGGCATCGCAGAATATCTCGACGATGGAACGGTGGTGGCCGTGACATCGTTTTTTGATTTCTCAGGCGATCTTGTGAATTTGGGCCTCGGGTATCTTAACTCCTCTGCGAACTCCATGATCGCAAGGCTCGAGCTGGATGCAAACCGAGAGGTACGAGCGAAGACTGCGGTGAGCGCTGCCCTGAAAGCGGCGGAGAGTCTGAGCTCGGAGAAGTTCGCCGTCTACGTCACTGGCAAAACAGCCGCCTTAGCATTGTCCTCGAAAGAGGTTGGCAAGACCATCGGCATGGCAGACGGAACTGGAATCATCTTCATCGTGCTCCTCTTCGGTTGGCAGGTGCGCTCATGGCGCCTCACACTCATTCCTCTATTCAACACCGTGCTGTGCTTGATTGTCACGGAGGGCCTCATTTACCCTCTGTCAAGTTCTGGCGCGATCTCGTTGCCGTCCTATGTGCCCAACGTCTGCCTTTTCTTGTCGATTGCACTCTCTGTCGACTACTCGTTCTTCCACCTTGTCCGCTTCCAAGAAGCGCGCAGGGACGGGGCCGGGCTGGCCGAGGCCGTGGTCGAGATGGTGACCACAGCGGGCCGCGTTGTTCTGGCACTCGCGGGCCAACGCATACCCCACTTGCGGGGCTCATTTCGATTCCTCCGATTCGACTCGACTCCGATTTCGATGGATTCCTATTCCGATTCGATTCGACTCTGGATTCCGATCGAAATTCCGATTCCTCAATGGGCCTATCAGCCTGCCGATTTCTGCCAATTCGACTTCTCCCGACTTGGCTGCCGATTTCCGACGATCCGATGCATTCCGATCGCCGATCCGACTTATTGTTTCGATTCTGGGCTCTCCTGTACTTGATACCCATGCTTTCCCACGCAGCGCTCTTGGTAGGGGCAGTCCTCATCACTGCATTTCCGTTTGATATTGCACTTGTGTATCGCCAGGTGTCTGATTCTGATGTGTGTTGCGTGTCAGTGTCTTTGTATCCGTATTTCTATACACATGTATCGAAGACGCCTACGGCGAATCATTGCCTCCTCCTCTTTCGGAAGCGCCTACGTGGCCGAACGTTGAGGCCATATTTGCTAAGCTATCGGACCATGTGTTCCCCGAATCGGTTTGGAAAGCCTTCGGGGAACACGTGGGCATCTTGAAGTTCATCTTGGCCGTGTGGAGGCCAGTTTGACCCTTTCGGGACTTCTTGGAGGACGTCTTGGAGGGCTGTTGGGTCGGCTTGGAGGCCATCTTGAGCGTCTTGGAGGCCTCTTGGGCCGTCTTGGGGGCCTCTTGGGGCCGTTTGGGGGTACTTGGGCCGTCTCGGGCCGTCGGAAGGCCGACAAACATGCAAATGCCACAGCCCTTACAAACATCATGGGAAATCACGGATTTTGTCGTTTTTGGCCCTTCCTGGAGGCCCTCTTGGGAGCCTCTTGGGCCGTCTTGGGCCATCTTAGGGTCCGACACGGGCCCGCACAGGTATCGGGCGTCGTCCTGCTCTTCACCTGGCTGGCGTTGGCGTCCTTCCCAGTCTTCGGCACGGACAGCCTCGGCTACTGCGCCTCGATCACGATCTTCGTGTGCATCACGGTGAACCTCACGATGAACCCTGCCCTCGTGCTCGCGAGCCCACGCTTCTTCGGTCGTGCGGCTCAGGACCCCTGGCACTGCTGCCGCAGCCGCCGTCAGCCTGCCGCCACGTCGAGCGACCCCCTGGCCCCTCAGGCCAGGGGCGCGAGAGAGCGAAAGAACTGCTACGGCTTTCTCGCCCGACACCTGACGAAGGCTCCAGGCATGTACCTCGTGCCGCTCGTCGTCTACGCCGTCCTGCTGCCAGGAACGATCCGCCTGTTCGACGCGGACCTCGTCGTCGGTGGCATCAGCGGGGGCACGGCACAAACCAAATTGGCAGCGCAACGCATTTTGGAGGAGTTTCCCGGTTCCTCTGGAGAGGTCCCGCTTACAGTGATGGTCACCCCGCCCTCAAGCGTGGACGTGAAGAGCCAGACTTACTTTGACGGTGGATGCGCCCTCGCGCAGATACTCCACGAAAAGACGGGCATCGCCTTGACCGCCTTCCGCGGGATTATGCTCACGAGCCAGCCGAGCGAGGGTGGACGTGCATCTTGCTTGGCTTGGAAGGACGCAGGTGGCGAACTCAATTCGGCTTCGGATGGAGGCCTCTACGGATGGGCCTGGAAGATGGCGGTTAATGCTGCCAACACCAGCAGCCTCATCACGATTACTCCTCCCTTCGACGTGTTCAGTGACAGAGCGAAGGGGCTCGTCCACGAGGGGCGCGACGCCGTGAGCGCCTTCAGGGAAGCAGGGAACTACAGTGCTTGGACCGTGGTCTCGTTCCACCCCATGGCGGTTGAAGTAGATGCTGAGGAGCTGGTGGCCGCACGCTTACCCTGGGCGGTCAGTTTCACGCTCCTCGTTGTCTTCAGCGTCATCGCCCTCCGATATCGTGCTGCACTCATCCCGGTAAAGCTCTTCATGACCATCGCTCTACCCATTGTGTCAGTCTTGGGCACAGGCGTCTTGGTCTTCCAGGACGGGTATCTGAATTGGACAGGGATACCAAGTTTGCAAAGTCAGGGTGGACTTGTGTGGATCAATCCAGTCGCGTGCACCTTCATGCTCATCGGGTTCGCCTTGGACTACGACATATTCCTCTTTTCGCGGATCTATGCAGACCGCAAGGGGGGCGTCTTCAAAGATGACCGGGCAGCCATCGTCAATGCCGTTGCCGCAACGGGTCCTATCATCACAACAGCAGGCGTTATTATGGCGCTTGCTTTCAGCGGAATGGTTGCTCAGCATTCCAATCCGTTCCTTTGCCAAATGGGCTTCACGATGATATTCGGCATACTGGTGGACACTTTCGTGGTACGCACCTTGCTTGTTCCCGCATTCCTGTCGATGGCCGGCCGCTTTAATTGGTGGCCGGGGGTGATGCCCACGCTCGACCCGGATCACTGGAGGCTCCCAAAGTATGCGCCAACCCCGCTCTCCCCTTATGAACCTCCAGCATTTGGTCGTGGGTTTGAGGCTCGGGTGTTGCCAAGGGTGCCCCTGGCCCAAGGTGTCCCCAGTCACCAGAGACAAAAGTACCACTACCACCAGCGAAGGGGGTGGCTGTTTCACCCTCTCGAGCTGGTGTCACCTCGTTCCAGGCATGTCTTCAGAGAGTTTCCGGATGGATGTGCCACCAGCTCGATGGGAGGGAGCGGCCACCCCCCTAGCTGGTGGTAGTGGTACTCTTGTCTCTCCTGACCCAGGATTTCCAAGGGCTCCATGCACCCCTCAACAAGGCACAGAGGGCCCCAGCGCCATGGCGCGACGAGCTTTGGGGCCGCCACTTGTCCAGGGACACCTTGTGCACCCCCCCCGCAGTGGTGCCGGTCCGGTGCTCCTGCCGTGGCTGGGTCCGCATGGGGGGCGATCGAGGGGACTGCGATTTGGAAAGCGGGTCTCGGCGAGATCCAGCCGCCGTCGTGGACCTGACCGCGCCCTGTTGCTTTGACCTCCGGCGACTCGGCCCCGGGAGAGGGGCGTCATCACCCCGGCAGTGCTGGTGCCCTTTCCCTCCGTTCCTGCCCTACCCTCTTCGCGCCCTCTTGGGGGGCCCTCGTCGCCACGGCCAGGGGCGCCTCGAGCTCTGTGGTCAGAGAGCGCACCCCAGTAGAGGCTCAGGGAGCAGCAGCTCGGTACGATCGACGTGGATACAGTGGAGATCCATGCCAAGAAACGCCCTGCTTGCCTCCAGGGTGCCCTGGGTTTCTTGGGTATCGATGGTTTTGCGATGGAAAGCGTGACGTTCCCACACCACAAATGAATGGACGTCCTGGTGTTTCAGGGTTGGGTTTCTTGTGGAAGGTTTCTTGTGGTCGGGCCTCTACTGTACGACGACCACGGCATGTCCTGTCCACTTTGGGCAGGACTCGCTGTCGGCGTCGCCGCGGACTTTGTCCATTTGAGGCACAGGCTCGCCTGTCCAGCGCGGCCGCTTTCGGTTTTGGACCACACTTGCTGTTGGGCATCGTATCCATTTCTCCGCACTCGTGTCGGGCGCCCAGAGCAGCATCGGCATCGTTCGGGGGCGTCCAAGAGGGGGCGTGATGCCCGAGGGGGGTGGATCTCATGGCTGGGGCCATGTTCTCGCTTTGGACTTCGTGGCCCCGTCTTCTTCTCTCTCGGTGCGCCCCTCGGCCCCCCCCCCCCGGCCGAGCACGTGCCTCGGGCCAGGATGTGCAGGAGGAGGAGGAGGAGGAGGATGATGATGATGAGGAGGAGGAGGAGGAACGCCCTGGAATCTTATGGCACCCCGGGGAAGGGCAAGCGGGGTGTCGAGGTACGCCTCGCGCAAAAGCGCCTCCCCAGAGGACCGCCCCCAGCAGTCGGAGATCTCTCTGGAGGCGGACGCCGCGCGGTCCAGCGCCTAGGGGTCGGCCCTCCTTGTCCTCCTCCTCCTCCTCCTCCTCCTCCTCCTCCTCCCTCTCCTCCTCCTCCTCCTCCTCCTCCTCCTCCTCCCCTCCTCCTCCTCCTCCTCCTCCTCTCCTCCTCCTCCTCCTCCTCCCCTCCTCCTCCTCCTCCTCCTCCTCCTCCTCCTCCTCCTCCTCCTCCTCCTCCTCCTCCTCGCGGCGGTGGCGCCTCGCGAGCAGTCCGTCCGCCGCCTTTCGCGCGTGGCGCGGGGGCGTACGGCCGCTGGGGCGCGGCCTCCGAGCGCCGCGTGCAGTTTTCCAGCCGGCGGCCACAGCAGGAGGCCATGGCCTCGCCGCCCGGTGGGATCGAAGCTCCGAGGCGGGAAACTCATACCTTAGTGGGCCCTGGAAACGACAGGGCCGTTTTTTTTTACCGGTTCCGTTTTGCCGTTTTTTACTGGTTCCGAGGCGTTTGTTTTGCCGGTTCCGTCGCCGTTTTTTGGCCGGTTCCGGCTCGGGTTCCAATCCTGGAGCCGCTTTTTTGCCGTTTCGGTCGGGTCGCCGTTTTTTTTGCCGTTTCCATTTTCGAGGGGCATTTTTTTTTTGGAAACGGTGACAAAATGGCCTTGCCGTTTCCGGGGCCCACAAAGATTCATACATGATCATGAGACACCGCCTGGAGCATCAATTTTCGGGGACCTCGCAGGCGGTGGATATGGATATAGTCGGGCCCCCGGGGGCCAATATCCACATCCACCGCCCGCTGGGCGCCAGGACGTCGTTTCCCAGGCGGTGGACATGGATAAATCCCCGCCTCGCAGGAGTGGGGGCGGCTCCGCAGGGGGGCGAAGGCCAGCAGCATTCCCTGCGCATGTGGAGCAGGGATCGCCGTCGGTGCCGCCGCGGACAGGGTCTCTTCGAGGGGGAGAGAGAGAGAGAGAGAGAGAGAGAGAGAAGGCCGCCTGCCCCAGGGCGGCAGCTGTCGGTATGGGGCAGCCTGTGCTGCTGGGCCTCGTGCCCATCCTCTGCGTACCCGCTTCGGGCGTAGTCCTGCAGCGGCCTGGGCGGCACGCCGACTGGGCACACGCGAGCCGCTGCAGGTGCAGCATTTTTTGCCCGATTGAGGAGCTGCGGCAGGTGAAGATCTGGCCCAGTTGCCCTCCCTGGCAGTCTTGAGCTGGCCTGCACTCGCCATGCACGACGGGACGGACGTTGTCCATACGACACGCAGCGACCACTGCAGTCGACACGCTCAATCAATCATTCGAGCAATCAGTCAGGACAGACACGTGGATGGCGGTCCGTTTTCGGGAGTGATCTTGCTCTTGCGGGAGTCCTGTTCGGGCCTCCCGAGTCCTTCCGATGACTCTGGGGAGTGCTGTGGGAACTTGGTGATCTAGAGCGGGAGCTTCCAGGATCGAACTCTGTTCAGAAGCTTGGTGGCTCCGAGGTCCGAGGACAGGTGAGACGTGGCCATATTCGGAGGAGGAGGAGGAGGAGGTTGTCCGATCCCCGTAGCCCTTCATCCACCTCTTCATCTGCGTACCTCCATCCCGTTGAGAGCGCTTAGTTCCACGGGCGATGACGGGCGTCATATCAGGGGGGGAATGTGGGTGTGGGGCCCGGTAACGTAACGTTTCGCGCCGGCGCCGTCTGGGGATGTCCAGGACTAACCAGAGACAATGCGGACGCCAGCACGAATCGTGACGTGACCTTGGGGGGAGGGGCTCGGCCAGGGCCGGTAACGGCCGCCATCGCGAAACATAGCAAACACATGCTCTCCTGTCCCTGTCCCTTGTGCTCCCCTCACGCTCCCCCTGGCCCTCCCTCGTCTCCACGCCCTTCCTCCTCCTCCTCCTCGTCCTCGTCCTCCTCCTCCTCCTCCTCTCCTGCACCTCCTCCTCCTCCTTCTCCTCCTCCTCCACTCCTTTTCCTGGTAACTTCTCCCTGTCGCACCCCGAGGCCATTTTTGAGGGCGGGCCGGGCATTTCGCTTGAGACTTCGTCAACACTCATGCTGAAGCTGAAGAATTGGCCACAGTATCACAGATGGAGGGAGCGTGGTTTTCAAAATGTGGCTCTCGCGGTAGCGCCGCGCACATTCGCTGTAAACATTTGCAAGAGTTTCACGGATTGAGGGCGGATGGTTTTCAAAATGTGGCTCTCGCGTTAGCGCCGCGCACATTCGATTTTAATTATTGCAACAGCTTCACAGATGGAGGGCGGGTGGTTTTCAAAATGTGGCTCTCTCGTTCGCGCCGCGCAAATTCGTTTCAATTATTTGCTAGAGTTTCACGGGTTGAGGGCATAAAAATGTGGCTCTCGCTTTGGCGCCGCGCAAATTCTTTTTAATTATTTGCAAGAGTTTCACGGATTGAAGGCGGGTGGTTTTCAAAATGTGGTTCTCGCCTTAGCGCCGCGCACATTCTTTGTAAACATTTGCACGAATTTCACGGGTTGAGGGCGGGTGGCTTTCAATGTGGCTCTCGCTTTAGCGCCGCGCACATTCGTTCATAAAACATTTGCAAGAGTTTCACGGGTTGAGGGCGGGTGGTTTTCAACATGTGGCTCTCGCCTTAGCGCCGCGCATTTTCGTTCATACAGCACTTGCAAGAGTTTCACGGATTCCACAAAGCAGCGTACCAGAAATGATGTTTTGGAAGGAGTCAGGGTGGTGCGGGTGCAACAATTATGTTGATTCGCGGTGCTGAAGTCGCAGCAATGGCGCTCTGGCACGATTCCGGATCGTCCAGACGCAGCAGTCAGGTTGATCCGTGGCGTTGAAATCCCGAGAATAATGCTTTGGCATGCTTCAGGGTCTTCAAACGGTTGTCTTCTAACGAGGCACTTCCCTCAATGGAAGTGAACCGTTGTAGGGGCCTATGAGGAGGGAGCTTGGAGGGAGGGTTAATTCCAACATAGTTGACGTTGACCACCCTTGGGTTTACACTGGTCCTCCTCCTCCTCCTCCTCTTCCTCCTCCTCCTCCCCACCTGCCCGCGTCCTCCCCTGACAGCCCCTGACGCTTCGCGCAGGTGCCGCGAGCAGCACACGCTCGAACGACTTCTCCTCTCGCTCGGTGGCAGATCACGGGGGCCTCGCGCGTCCTCGTCGTTCCATCCATGGAGTGTGCCTTCAGCGTGCGCTAGCGCCTGGTACTTGAGGAGGAAGCGCCGAAATTAGCGTCAGTCGGCGTCGGTACAGCATCGGTCAGCGTCGCTCCGCAAGGAGCCAGCAATTGAAGAAGAACAAACGCCACAAACAGAAACTTTTGGCGCTCCTCGCGGATTTCTGCGATCCGCGCGGGGCCCCTCTGGCGGCGCCTCCCGCCCCTGGCGCGCTCCGCGCGCCAAGAAGGGGGGTCCAGCGCAGAGCGCGGAGCGCCGAAAGTTAATGTTTATGGCATGTGTCCTTCTTCTAAGCAAGCTGGCGTGGGAGGCCCCTAGGAGTTTTGCCTCCGAGCTCGGAGGCTCTGACCCTGCTGGGCCTCGGTGCCCAGCCTCTCCCAGCCCCCCGACACCGCGGTTCTTCCACAGCGTCGGGCCCCCAGGGGTCTGGACCCCTCCCCAGGACCGCTGCTTCGGGCGCTCTTGGTGCGCTCTGTTTTGCCCTGGCTCGAACGTTGTTCAGAACTGTTGCTCGAAACGCCAGAACGAAAACAGAACGGCAGATGCAAAGCTAAACACGTGCAGCAGCAGAACAGAACAGAACACTGGACCAGCGTTTAGGTACAGCCTTGCGCTGCTCCCTCCCGGGCCGGCCCTTGGACGGCCCCCCAGGGGGGGGGGAGGCGCCCTTGCGAGGGGGCCCCCAGGGGCCGATCGCGTCGCCGAGAGCCTCCTCCGCGGCCATTGCCACGGCGCGGTGGGGGGTTGGAGGCTCTGGGCTGCTACCCCAGGCCCCCCCTCGAGTCATGAAAAAATCACGGCGCGAGGCCTTGCGCTATATCTTCAGCTTCTGGGGGCCCTCACACCGGGCCCCGGGACCGTGAAAGGACGGCTCAGGATGCAGAGCCGGTCCCAGGGATGGGGGGCCACATGCGAACCCTACCCCTACCCCCCACGATTTCTGAGGGGGAGGGTGGGGTTCACTTCGCTCGTGAGCTCCCAGACGAAGTGAACCCCACCCTCCCCTCAGAAATCGTGGGGGGTAGGGGTAGGGTTCGCATGTGGCCCCCTAAGGGAACGGGTCGAGATCTCTGGGGGCCGACGGCCATCGACAAAGATCACGCCATCCGAAGGCCCGGGCGCACGGCGCCCGGGCCTTCGGGGCGCCGCCGAGCCCGCGCCGCGCCGCGCCGGGGGCGATCAAGGAGCGGCGAGGAGCGCACAGACGTGCTAAAACGACGCGAAGATTGGGACAAAATCGGATCGGTATAACTCGAAATCTCTGAGAATCGGCGGGTTTGGAGGATGTATTGGGCGCCGCGGCCGCTCCAGAGCGTTCCGGAACGCTCTGAAAGCGCTCCGGAACGCTCTGGAGCGATTTATCCCGATCCTAGCCCTGTTTTTTCGTGCGGTCAACCCGCATGAGTAGTAAGAATGGTTGGTGGCGCGCAGAGGGGGGCAGGGCGAGGGGGGAAGGCTCCTTAGAAGCACCCCTGCTTCTTCGAAGGCGCGGGCCTCGTCTGTCAATGGAAGGCCCGCGGCTTCTGAGAAGCAGCCTCCTTCCAAGACGCCTTCCCCCCTCCCCCTACCCCCCTCTGCGCGCCGCCAAGATGGGCAGCCTTCCTCAGGGTACCCCCTTGCAACTTGCATATTCGCCTCCTGGGTCCATTCTTGGCCACTTTCGTCGGCCGCGCCCCGCTGGAAGGGCTTCGACATGGGCGTCCAAGGCCCTTGCATCCTTACCGCGCATCGTTACTATACGGGTTGACTGTGAACCTTGTACGATCCGCGCGGATTTCTTGGATCGGCGCTGGGCTCCTCACGCGCTCCGCGCGCCAGGGCGGGGGATTTTGCACAGATCCAAGAAAGCAGCGCGGAGCTCCGAACGTTTATGCTTACAGTGCGGGCGCGGCCGCAAGAACCCCCCGCAAGAAACCCAACCCTGAGAACCCGCGCGCGAAGGGGAAACCCGGAGCACCCTGGACGCAGCCGCTCCTTC